AGCCGGTGAGATTTGAACCGCTGAACTGCTGATCTAGCAGTAGCCTGCAGTGCTGCATTTAACCACTGTGCCACCTCGGCTCCTGGAACCTGCCCAGGAGGAGGCTGGAAGCTCAGAGTGCAGCTGTGGCCTCTGGGAGGCTTGGCAGATGTTTCATTACTCAACTAGGTGACCTCATTGGTGCTAGAAGGCCGGGGGGGGGGAGGGAGGTGGGGGCTTCCAGGGTTAAGGAGGACTGTGGGGTCCTTGGTGGTCCCTGAGCTTGGAGCTTTTCTTGCAGATGTATAATGTTTCTCCCTCCTCTCAGGAACCCACACTCCCTTCTACCACTGATGACGTTGCCTAGTTGGGTAATGAAAGGTCTGCAAGAAAACCACTCAGCTCAGAGACCACCAAGTGCCCCCCGTGCTCCTTCCACTCTAAGACAGTGTTTCTCAACCTTGGCGACTTTAAGTCCTGCGGACTTCAACTCCCGGAATCCCCCAGCCAGCGCAGCTGCGCTGGCTGGGGGATTCTGGGAGTTGAAGTCCGCAGGACTTAAAGTCGCCAAGGTTGAGAAACAGCCCCAGGAAAGGCCGAGGGCTCAGCCTCTGGACAAAACACAGCAGAAGGGGAGAAAAGCCGGGTGGTCCAGTGGCTTAAGGTACTGGCCTAGAAACCAGGAGACGGGGAGTTCTAGTCCCGCCTTGGGCACGAGAGCCGGCTGGGTGTCTTTGGGCCAGTCCCACTCTCTCAGTCCAGCCCACCTCACAGGGTTGTTGTGGTGGGAAAATAGGAGGAAGAATGGATGCCTTCCCCACCTTGAGCCATTTGTAAAAATACTAAAGCTGCGATAAAAAAAAGTAAATAAAAGTAGCACTGGTTCGAATAGAAGAGGAGGGGAGGAAATCCTGAATTTTGAGAAGCAGCCGGGGGTCTCGCAGGTTCGAATAGAGGAGGGGAGGAAATCTCGGTTGTTTTGAGAAGCAGCTGGGGGGTCTCGCAGGAGCACCAGCAGCCTCTCCCCCAAACCCCCCGTCTCCCCCAAAGCCACAATCCCCGAATCCCTGCCCCACCCTGAATCCGGGGGGGCCACGGAGGGCCAGGCTGACCTGGGCATGGCATGGCCCGTGAGCTGGAGCTTCCGGAAGGTCTCTTCGTACTGGGGGAGTTCCACGTAGGTGATCAGCCACTGCACCACCTCCTCCACCGTCCAGTTGTAAACTGCAGAAGGGGCAGAGAGAGAGAGAGAGAGACACACACACACAGAGTGTTTTCCCCCCTCCTGCCGTCCCTCTGCTGAAGCCCCCCATTTCTCTCAGAGGTCCAGGTGCATTTAGCAATAGCAGTTAGACTTATCTACCGCTTCATGGGGCTTTCAGCCCTCTCTAAGCAGTTTACAGAGTCAACATATATTGCCCCCAACAATCCGGGTCCTCATTTTACCCA